CAACTGACTGCCTCTCATTTGGTCAGGATCTAATATTCGAACTGAATGTCTCATCGCATAGCCTTAAGTTTAATACTATTAAAAATTCTGGCGATATTTTAAAGTTTTTTGAGTCTTTGGAAAATCCTACTCTCTGCTAAGTCTTTAAGATTTACTACGAGCATGTTAGTTCTCATCCTCAAACCCCTGATGGCTGCAATTTACATCCCTGACTAAAATGCGCAGCAATCTTACTGCAAATAGCTTGGTGAATAAGGCGCATAAATTGGATAAGTCTCAGTGACTGGAGCAGAACCAGAAGTGGTATCGTCTGTGCCTGGAGGGTACCTTGCTTTTCATTATAAAATTAAGTATTGTCCTTTAGAAGAGAATAAGCTACAAGATCTTTCATTTTTATGATATGCAAAACTACGTTGCTTTAAACCGAGGAGAAATTTATGCAGATGGGTATCGGGAATTTTTTCGTAAAGTAAATTTTCAAAGGTTTTGGCTGCAGGCAGCGTATTCGCGCGCAGCTCGTTAGATACTAATTTTAAAACAAGAACGTCACTTGACAACATGGAAGAAGCCCCTTAACAGGGAGGCTGCGAATACTCTACATAACCGTCGATGAGATTCTCATATGTTTTTTTATTGGGCTGAGAACAATACCCACTCCAGATGGGAGTATTGTAAATGACATATGTACAGCCAAACGAGTGAAGGTGGAACGTCAGTGGTTACGACAAACCTCTCCGGAGGCATACAGAAGAAGGAATAACTCTGACACAAGAGAAGGCAAAGAAGACGCAAAGGCGTCTGATAAAAACATTATTGAGGGATCTGTACCCCGTGAGTAACGTCCGGTTAACCATCGGGTGATTTTCCCTGATAATTCATTATTGTATCTCTAACATAAATATAAGTTGACTCTACAAACCTCCAAAACACATTTGCGCATGCGTGCGTTCTTGTTTTACAGGCCATTTAGATCGACCGACAAGACGACCTTCCAAACATCTACATGAAAATTGCCAGTTTGGGTTGATCGGACAGGACCATACCTATTTCAAACGCTGTCCTAGCTCACCTAGTAGACGCCTATAACCAATTGATGTCGAAAACGCATTTAGCGGCATTTGCTTGTCCTAAAATAATAATGAATGCTTGCAACTTCAATCGCTTAGGTGACATGGATAATATACCAGTGTACGAGCAACAGGGCTGAAAGGCTTCGCTTAAAGTTAGGGTGGCACGTAAGGTCATGTTTCCAATATTTCAATAAAATGTAAGCATTAGCGCATACAGGTGACAATGGAGACAGTGGCATCCTGCCTGTGCAGTCCTTTCCTCTGCTCTGAAAACCCCCGCAACATCAGTAAGGCTACCCAGAACTAAGCACACATGACGTTAAGCATTATAAAATAATGGACAAATCCACAATTAATGCGCTAATACTTCTGGATAAATATGCTTCTCACTTCGTTCCTTTTCGAACTAGGACACCGGCCACGGACATCGTCATGTTTTCCTGCTAGAGGAGACTCATACACGCGTCATGAGTTGTTTGAGTCCTGGATTTTCTGCTCTAAACGCATGAAGAAGATCAGTTATCTCGGCCATTAAGTGTCAACATTAACTGGGCCACGGCGACTTCAAATCGCTCTTCCGGCTACCGATGGAGTGATTGGATCTAGTGACTTAACTACCAGCTTCTTTGCTGGGCTTGATGTCTCTTAAGATCATACTCCGCAGGCACACGAATTCGTTCGCAGAACTGAGACCAATTTAATTGACATTTACCTTGGATGCGTCCACTGACGCCGGTCGATAGATGATCACTCACTTTTCTCTGTTAATGGCCAGTTCGAAGTTTGAGCAGCCAGAGAAGAGTGACCACGCTTCTCTCAATGTCTCATTTTGTGATTTTTAGCGCTTAGCCGTCTACAAAAAGATCGTGGACTCTGGCCCTGAATGTCTTCGGTTCAGAATACCTGCGCCAACTGGTGAGCAATTTTGCATCGGTTTCATAGTTATTGCTGATTTCAGGTCCTTAAAAACGGACAGCATCCAGAAACTGGCGGAAAAATGGCGCTGAAGAGGGTACGACTTTTTCGAAAACCTTGCTTGCGTCATTTGCTAAATCAAAGGCATATGAAAACGAAGCGTCACCCGCAACACACCACATCACCAAATCTCCTAAAGAACTCCGCGCAGCAGAAATTTAATGACAAATGTATGGTTTATGGCTGGGGTTATTTGATCCGGGGAGGAATTGTGTTAAAAGGAAATAATTGTCGATATTTAGTTATGCGTGCCAGAAAAAGAAATAAAAAGACCTCACGGTGGCCGTTGAGCGAATGTGGTCAAAATGCTTTGAGATAGTCCTCGAATTAAAGATACGATAATGTAATGCCTTTTTGACAATGCCTACAAACATCATTAAATTGATAACATAGTGTCCCCTTTTAGCCAGTGACAATATGGAGGATCAAAACTTGTAATACCACAGAGTTCTTGGATGTTCAGCTCTTTTGCTCAACACAAATGCTCCCCGGGTTAAATAAACCCGACCACAAATCATACCCTTTCTAGTTTCATAATGAAGTCCTAGTGTTAAGCAAAGTTCGTGATATCGAAGACACTTACCGGATCGTCAAAATTTACATAGGGACTGACTTTCTTTTTTGACACTTTTCTCGCAGTCGTCAGAGTACGGAAAACATATCCGCGCCTTCACGCCGTTCCAGGAATAAGCCTTGCCCTTCGTGAATCAAGTCTTGTTCTCGATGTGCTTTCAGTGGGCGTTGAACGCCGAAAAAGACGATTCCTTCATTTTTATTGGCCGATAATGGTGAGGTCTCCGGCTCCTTTTAGTATTCTTCCGCGTCTCCATGTCTCCCAAAACTGAGGCAGCCTATTCGGAAGTCGATAGCTAACGTGTTGTTAGACATATTTTGAAGTTGAATCGACACCCCTCCGAACTCTTCATTGAGATACCTACTGCCCCGCCCCGGTCGGCTTTTGTAGGGGACGAACGATTTAAATAAGTATTCTGTGCCACTTCAGACAGTCCCCTAGTGGCATCTCAGCGCGCAGACTGGCGCTCGTAGACGTCCCTAATGCAGTCGATCCAAATCTCGCGAGTCTGTGATATCTCCCCCAAAAGACCAGTTTCTTACAAGCTATGCGCAACAGGGCCTCGTAATGTTGAGTGATGTATACTGACTTGATAAACACAGATCAACTATTAATTTTACCTCTGTACGCACATCATTGACTTGTTTCTGTATTGTGGGCAAACCATCTATTTTACATCTTTCTCACTCTCGAATACATATAGTTTCGTTTCAGGAAAATGTTATTTCGGGCACGTTTGGCTCACATGGGCGTTACGAGTTTTCTTTCCTCGAATACGAGACGCCAGACTCCACGGACATTACTGCTTTGTTGTTGCTCATGTGTTGATCCAAGGAATCCTCCTAAGTTGGTCTGAATGACCGGCTCTCTACAACTTGAATTTCTTTCAAATTTAAGTTAATGGTGCAGGTGAGCTCCCTCGTAACTTCAGCTACAACCAGTATTGAAGCGTCACATTGATTTATCGCCTTATTATTCTGAACTGCGGGATGTTGGATTTGCACTTTCATTTTCGGGGTGAAAGGCGGTGGTCTGTACAGCATTCGGAGCCGCACATTATATCTGTCCCCGTAACATCCCACTGACACCACTGAACCCAGCAGGTGTCCGTGACGCGAACGAAAGTACGATCAAGTTATTTTAACCGCTCCCGATAAAGGAGCAGATAAGACGATTTTGTTCTGTGGATATGCAGAACAGGGGAAGTTCTTAGTCACTGCAATCGCCCACTTTGAAGTGACCTGATACCCCCTCCCGAGTAGAGAGATCGGTACATACACGGACTTTGATTTCACCGCGAAAAATAAGATCGTCTACCCTCGTCATAGCATAAGGAGGGCATACAGATTTTCGCTGACACTACTGCTCAAATATCCATGGTTTGTTGTCTAGGGGAAGTTGCATTAAATGGTAGTTGTGGCACATTGCTCTCCGCAAAGTAAGGGTTTTGTTGTTACCAGACAACTTATAGCTCATGCGTCAGGTAAAGCAACTGCCTCAAAAACTCGTCTTTGAAGGTAAAAATAAATCAAACTTCTCGTCGTTGGCTTATTAGAAGTTTCTTCCAGGAGAGATGTGCCGGTCTTGGTCCGCTCAGTGAGTCAGACGTCTTCAAGAGCTGCGACGTCAGCTTCGCATCAAGCTAATTCGCGGTCGGCCAGAGCTGTCCTACTTAACTTTTCGTTATTCATTACAATGGGCCAGCTAACCCATGAAATATGTGTGATTTCGCAGACAATTCACAACAGCTCAGATACATGCCCAAATAACCAGACGATAGCACACAGTTAAAAAACGAAAACGTCCAGTTAAGTGAAAACACAAGCTACCTAATGGATGAAATCGTAAGGGGATTTAGAAACAAGATATTTTAGAGAAAAACAAAGGTGTCGATAATGGATAAATTCGCGCAATACGAGGAAACGTAAGTCACAGAAGCATACAGTGCGTATGTCAGCAAATAATAACAATGATAATAATAATTGTATTTAATCTCAGGGTAAACGCGCTGTTGAAGTAAAATACAGCACGGATCGGCCTAACAGTGAAACCACGTCAAAGGACACTATAATCTAAGCACGTCGGATAGTTTTTCCTCGGATGTCGGCCAGGAATTGGGAGGCCAAATTGATGGAGGTCCTTGATCCTTCTCAGAGAAAGTTAAGTTTTCGGGCCATCCGTTTGACCAGACTGTAACTGGGGCTGCCTTTCAAGGCAACGATCTGTCGAAGGGGAACGTTTGGCATGGGAATTTTGGGTAAACCATAAAAGCGGGCCAGTGCCGTGTCAGTTGGTTTCATCTGTCGATATCGCACTGTTGCGCCTGAGGTGGTTCAAGAGTCCGGTTACTTGCCCGATCATCGTTTTGGCTCGCAAGGAATATGGTGCCCTTTGACGGAGTTTTACTATTCATATCTATCCTACCGGACCTGGCACACGGCGTTCTTCACAAACGACTCGAAGAGAACTACGACGAAACGAACGGATCCTTAAAAATCGACCACTTACTGCTACTCTTTGCTTTCTGCCAACAAACCTTTTTCACCTTCAATGACAGAACATACGAGCAGATCAAAGGAACGCCTATGGATTCGCCAATATCCAGCCTGGTTGCAGAACTAGTCTTGCAGGAGCTGGAAAAAGTCACCTTCGACCACTATGAACCCGCATTTTGGCGCCGGTACGTGGACAACACGTTTGTTATAATTAAAAGGAGCAGACTGGCCGACCTTCAAGACCTGCTTAACGACATCTTCCCGGACATTCAGTTCACAAGGGAAGAAGAGCATGCCGAACAGCTGCCTTTCCTTGACGTTCTCGTCACACGTACACCCAACGGCGAACTCAGCACCACGGTGTACAGAAATGCGACTAACACGACTCCGATTCTCAACTACCATAGTAACCACCCAATGTCGCATAAACGCAGCTGTGTTAGGACACTCTTCCAAAGGGTAAAAACGCACTACAGTGAGCCAGAGGGAAGAGTACGAGAACTACGGCATCTTCGGGACCAATTGGCAAGGAATGGACACCCGAACAGCTTCGTCAGCCGCTGCCTCCGCACGCACCCACGGCAAACAAACGGAGGAGAGTCGCCAACACTCTGGCACCATCTATCATATATAAAGAACGCGTCGTAAGCGATGGAACGTATCGTTGGAGAGCTCGGCATGGGTATCGCCCACCGTCCGACGACAACTATAAGCAAAAAAACCATGCGGATAAAGGACCGACTAAGGGTGGGAGAACAATTGGGTGTCGTTTATCAGATCCCATGTCGGGACTGCCCTCGCCACTACACAGGACAGAGTGGACGTCAACTTAGCTCACGAATAACGAAGCATAAAAGGACGGTCCGGAGAGGCGACCAGTTGTCTCAGGTCGCCACTCACACCCTGGAGGAAGGCCACGAATTCGACTTCGCGAGCACGCGGATAGTAGCGCGGGGCAGCAATAAGACAGGTCGAGAATTGTTGGAGGCCTGGGCGTCTGACGCCGACTCTATCAACAGACAAGTTGACACACCTCCGCTGCTATCACGCGCTCTGTTCCCGCGGCCAAGAGGTAGGACCCAATTCCCGGCCAAGGGTGCACGCAGTCATGCCGCCGTGAGACGGCGTGGACTCAGCCTTATCGCAAACACCACCCCCTCCCGCTCCGCCATTGTTTGAATACAAAAACTGCTCATTTGACGCTGCATTCTCGCAGTCTCTGACGGTGGCCTCCTGTACGAGACCGAAAGCTCAGATTAATACACGCACTGTTCCAGAAATCGCGTGTTCATCTTCTTTACAACAAGAACCTGCGATTCGCATATTTGCCTCCATCAGTGAGAATCATATCTGTTTGACTTTTAGCAGGAATATTGCAGAGATAAGGCCTCTTTTAAGGTTGGCAGTAAGTGCGGGAGTCTTTTAAGTTGCGAGCGTGAGCAAAGTAGTCTTAGAGGAGGGGAGACGGAGACAGGAGGGAGACTGCTCCCGATTTTCGTCTCTGCCGGTTTCTCACGTCCAGCAGCCAGCGGCCAGTTTTGTTGACAGAGCAGAGCAATGCCTGTTCAGGGAACAGTTGGCTGGTCCGCCATGAGGTCGGGCTGTATAGGGACCCCAAACGCTGCGTACGCTCGGAAAGCGATCCGAAATGAGTTCTCCACCAGTGGAAAACATGAACCCCCTCCGTGGGATGGTTCAGAGGGGAGAGCTAAGCGGGATGAATGGTGGCACAAACGGATTCGCTAGGTGTGTAGAAATGCTCAACCGGCACCTTCAACTGGTCTAGTGAGCCGGTCGAGAAAAGTTGCCCAACTGTGTACGCCATTTTGAGCACGGGTTGGTGAAGCAAAGGGTGAAAGCTGTGTGCCAGCAGGATGCGGCACGAAAGTACCCGGAGAGTCCTTTCTAGGCCTCCGTTGAAAATGGGAATGCTTTCCCATGAAAATCCCTGCCAGGACCAGTAGTGCATTCGACATGACGGTGCAACCGCAAGGGGACCCGGTTGGCAATTACACCCTGACACGCGTGAGCTGCTCCACGGGGATAGCCAGATGTTAAAGATAGTTACTATTCGCGTGTATGTACTAACCGCCTTTGCCGTCATTTCAAGCACCTAGAGACTGGAGACATTAAAACTACACTGAGGAAATTTCTGAGCACACGTCCGAAAAAGATCCGCTTAATAACATTGTATGTCGATAATAGTGGAAATGAGATTCCCAGGTGGTAAATCAAAAGAAGGCGTTCATCGGGAGAGGTGTACTGGAGGCCTGACGTATCGATTAGTTGTTTCTTCTACCCATCTACCGACTTCAGTGCAGCTGCGGAATGGGCAACTACGTTGAGAAAACCGGCCGACGGCTACAAACGCGAATGCACGAGCATAAGTTAGCCGTGCGAAGGTTGGACCCAAAGTCAGAGGTAGCAACCCATGCCGAGCAAATGGGACACACCTTCAACTCTGAGGCCATTGGAATTGTGGGCCGGGACGATGATCATACTTCAAGGCTGGTGCAAGAAGCCTGGATGTCCACCGACTGCTCTGTCAACCGCCACATGAATTTGCCTTTCCCCTGGCTGACTTTACGAACCTTCTTAACGGGGGACAGTCACGGCGCGAGACAATTAGGGTCGTCAAATATCGCCGCGGCCGATGAGGGCAGTGACGATTCAAGTCACGGCGACATGAGGGTCGGATGCAGCCACACAAGCGCCATTGGCGGGCCACGCGTCAAACAAAGTGCGCCACATAAGGAGAGCTGTGCGCATGATTTCCCAATCTCTGAAGATGGGTAGACGAAAAAACTACTCGAAATGCCAGACCTCCAATACACCTCTCCCGGTGAAGGCCTTCTTTTCTTTTAAAATTGTCTGTTTCTGCTCCGGGTCTGTCAGCTATAGCCAAGACTAATCGATTTGCATTAGCGCGCCCGTCAAGCACAATTTAAAATGCAAAGTCGGAGAGCTGATCATACTTCTTGTTTGCAATGAAAGTAATAAAAGTAAACAGGTTTAAAAAAGTGGCTGTGAGGTCCGGTCGTTGGCGCAGACCAGGATGCCTAAAGAACTTCGTCCCTGGGACGGCGAAGGCCAGTGTCAGCGCATAGCTACATCCACAGTGTTGGACATAGTTTTAACTTCTTCGAGGAGGGAGGTGAAGGCATGTCGGATGTTGCGCACGCTTTTGCACAGTTGCTGTTCTTTACTTACTTCTGTGCCCAGCACACCGAGCAGGCGACGAACACGCGAGGACTAAAAGTGACAGAAGAGCATGTCCGGATTATAGTGGAATAGTGAGGCAGGTGCAAGTAGATTCGGACGACGTGCGGTCTAGAGACAAAGGGTGAGGAACGCAGGGATTAACGGCCGAGATTATGTATGATTAACTGGGTGAAGGGACGAACAGAACAGGAGATCTAGCATGCACACGTGTAGCCTCAAACGACTGCTGACTGTGTCCTCAGTGACAGTTGTGCAGATAGACTGAGGCTGCCCTATCCAGGATGAAAACTGTGGCAGTAAGTACGCTTTTTTCGGGCACATGTAGTTCATTGTCCATTTGGCAGCTCAAATGCCAACACAGTCTCAGCACTTTTCCCATTATTTCAGACAGCCTTCTTCACTGCATGCGCCACTGTGACTTGCATCGTCCGTCACGTTTTTGGAGGTATTCGCACCAGGCTAATTATTCTGTGAGCCTAACAAGACTGCGTTCATAAGTTGGGGGACAGATGTCAAATTTTGCGGATTTGATCAGCCTACCTTCTGTTTTATCATTTACTGCAGAAACATTGCTACTTAAATGCATATAGTAGGGAGAAATGTGGAGTTCAATTCACAATAGAATCCGTTGTAGATTCGTGCCAAGGTAGGAGTGACTCGAGAGAGAGAGCACTAAGGCACGACGGAACGGATGAGTTCCATAGAAACAATCAGTGAGCGCCCCTCTATCATTGTAGGAGTGCCTGTCTGCGCGCCCCCAAAGGAAATATTAACGAGCACCCTAGATGCGTCCAGCTGCTAGTGATTACTGCTGTGTGCACTCCGCACTGACACTTGTGTAGATGGACGGGGACCATATTATCCAAAAAATATCTCGGCCACCTGAAGTTCGTTGTCCGTTTTGCGGCAAAGGTGAGACTCCAGTCTCATACGTTCTATGCAAAGTTTTCCCACGTGTAATATATCCCCTCCTTGTGCAGTCAGCGCTGAAACCTACAGCATTTTTTGTCCAGTGCAGTGTGGTCCAAATGAATAGGTTCTGAGCTGATCGAACTAATTCAAAATGCATACTGTATAATTAGTGAGTGAATTTACCCAAAACAAACTGCGTGAATGCCCAAAGCAAAAATAAAGTGCATACTGAAATCGGATGGGAATTCTATCAGATATGAGATCGATCATACACGTTATTTCCACAGGACACGACCGAAATGCCTCTTCCACTACGCCCTGTTCCTAATTTTGTAGAGTAAACTGAAGTTGTGCATTAATTATTATGAACTCTTTGCTACTTTTAACCTAAGTAGGCATGCGCAGAATTTTGTTCACTCTCTGATGGGGACTATGCTGGAGTGTGTTAGATAAGAATTAAAAACAGATAAATAAGGACAGTACGCATTTTAGCGACAAATGATTTAAAAAAGAAGGCATAAATTGGGAAAAAATAAACATTATTAAAGGGAACGTAATCAGGACGCTGGGTAAGGTGGGGTTAATAGACGAATTTTTCTAAAAGGAAATCCGAAAAAATTACGCCAGCCCCTGACAGAGAAGGTGCAACACCGTAGAAATGGGTTTACTGCGTCTTCCATATCTTCTTTCGGAGTACACTTCTACGAATTGTTTCAATAGCTGCTCTACTCAGTAGCACTTCCAGGAAGGGAAGGAGCTATCCTCTTTCTTTTCACAACTGGGGATTTAGTGCTCAGTGATTTTGATTTAATGCTACAGGTTAACCAAATCGAGCTCATCCTTCACTGATTTCTGAAAATGCTTCTGTACTTTTTGACTTTGTCCTCTTCAGAGTTTACGTGAGTGTAATCACGGATCCTAGATAGCCCAGGGAACTATTTGCGTTCCAGGTACTCACTGCGTATCAATATTACAGCATTCGCTCTGCGGAAGCCAACGTTAGTTCGGAGTTCATAACAGGCTGCATCGAAAGAACTGGACACCCTAATGCGCACTGGATGAAATTTGCGTAACCATCGGACGATCCTCTCGAGTACAGTCTTGAGCAGAAGTTCAAAAAGTCGGTTAAAACCAGGGGATGCAGATCAGTGAGGTGCATTGTACTCTACGTCAATGCATGACTGTGACAGACAAATTGACTGACAAAGAACGACGATAACGTGGAAGCCACGTTAAGACAGTGAGTCCATAGCATATGAAACCCCTCCGTGGAGCCAACCCGACAAAAGGATAGGCCGCTGTTGCAAATGCTGCGGAGCAGTGTATAAATAATTTCAAAAACATAACTCCCGACAATCTATTCATCGAGGTGCTATCTGGAGGTCAAACGCGTTGGTTTTATACCCAGAGAAAAACAGATTATAGGCCGAAGTTCACTTTGAGAAACTCTGGATCCATACGTCGGATCTAGTACCAGAAACGCCAAATGAATCGGAGTACTGAAAGTGCACTCTCTTGAACCGCTGCTGTCAGTATCTCAGGAAAAAAACCACTAGGAATGGGACGCATCACGCGACCCTATCTTGACAGGCTCAAAATTGCATAAAATAGGAAAGGGCACGTCATCAAGGCGGACAAGCGTCGTCTCTCAATGGACAAATGTGGTTGTTTCAAATGATTAATAAATCCTAGAACAAAGCGCTGACTAGTATAAGGTTACAGACGTCCAAATCACGAAATGTCTTTAATAACTGAAAGACCACTGCTTGATCAGTGCATAAAAATCCCCTGAGGCGTTATGTTCTGTCAAAGATTCGGAAACACGACTCCAAACATGTACACTTCGCCTCATCACCCAACTGAAAATTGGCTGGTCGAAGTAATTAAGCCGACTCAAAGTAACGTATACAGCTTGTAACGGCCTCCTCCAAACGTCCTTTGCAAGGTTACGCCTCTCGCGCGTACTTGGACACGGGTACCAATGACAGCCTGGTTCTCGGCCAATCACACTTATCCAATCCGACCGATCAACTTCAGGGCGACTC